CATCCATCCCTCCATCCCTGGTGCTCCAGGATGGGATTCCAGCAGCCAGGGCTGGTTTTGGGCCCTGCACTGGGAACCCTTCACTAATAGGGGGTTTGCTTTAGCCCAGTCCAGCACTGGAGCACACGGATCAAGGATAAGGATTTTAGGATTGGCAGTTCCTGTCCTATTCCAGCACGCAGGAATATTTGGGAGCTCAGGGTCACTCACCATTAGCCATAAGGAATTTAGGAATGAGGTCCACGTTCCAGTCTCTTCCCCGCCCCATAGATTCTGGTGGAGTTCCCGGGAGATTAAACCTTTTGTAGAGCTTTGGAGAGAGAATACAGAACTTATTATAGCCCAGGAAATCTGTCTGGGTGTCATTTCTCCCACACATGGACACACTTTCCACGCCCACGGCTCCAGGCTGAACACAAGCTCTTCAGTTTGAGCTCCAATCTGAGTTTGGAGCACACAAACACATCCAGTGAGTTGTCACAGTACGAAGCAGGCAGTGTAATTCTGCTCATCCAGGCTTTGGGGATTTATGATGGACTGTTCAACATGGCATTTCTTAGTCCAATTTACAATTCAGCTGAAGAGTTTTAACAGCCAGCTGTAACAGCTCTGGAATGCTCTGTGCTCGGATTTGCTCAGATTCCAAGTGGGAATTACAGGAAACAAGCACAACCCTCCAACCCCAAACACCCCACAGTGGCATCTCCCCCAAAGGAAGTGCCATAAACCTCCCTCACCCAAAGACCCTCAGAGTCTGAAGCCCCCCAAGGTTAACTGGGATGAAATCCCTTTGTGTGCCAGGAAGGACACAGGGATGGGTCTGTCACACTCACATCTTCCAGGGGTGTAATGGAAGCGCTTTCCCCTCCATAGTACGAGTTCCGATCCATGTGAAGGACTTTCTTTCCATTCACTGACATAATCCCGGAGAGGATGCATTCCTGCAGCGAGGAAAGGATGCAAGGGACAGGTCAGCTGCACTGCAGCCTCCTCCTTCCCATTTTCCCTGAGCATGTTCAGACACCTCCATTGCAAACATGCACAGCAGCTGCCTCATTCCAGAACTCAGGCACCTCCTGGAGGCAGAGTAACCTCTGAATAAATTTACTGTCTGCTCTGGGCAAGCCAAGCAAGGGGTCAGAGACGGTGTGTAGGTTGGGTCCCTGCACAACCACCACCTATATCAGGGCTTCCCTGAGGAATTTTTTGGGAATTCCATGCACTGGAGCCAAAGGATAATCTGTCCTCTAAGGCACCAGGTGTCACTTTAAGGGTGTGCACAGAGAGGCAGCAGGAGAATGAAAGCTTACCTGGACTTCAATCAGTCTCCTCAGAAGTTCAATTATTAATATTTGCCACACTGGGACACTCAGGATAATCACCAGCTTCTCTCAGAGAGCAGCATAAAGAATAAATGAAGGCATTTGGGTGCTTTATCAGCTCAGCTTTGCTCTCCTTGCTCTGTGCCCCCCGAGGAGCAGCAGATCAGCTGCTGTGTGTGACTGCAGAGCACACAGAGCACACACAGCCTGCAGGACCAGCTCAGCCCTTGCACAGCTAAATCCCCATTAAAACACGACTTTGCACCGGCGTGGGCACTCCCCAGCCAAGGAGCTTAACAAAAACTCCAATGTCTGTGTGCTTAGGACAGCTTATCTTGGAGGGTTTGCTGATCTTGCCGTGCCTCAGCTCCCTGCAGCAGCTGAGCTCCCATTCATCACCAGGATCTCTCTGGTAGGCCCTGGCCACATCTCACGTGGTGGCTGGGGCTTGCTGGAGGGGGCTTGGAGCACCTGCTCCAGTGGAAGGTGTCCCAGCCGTGGCAGGGTGGTTTTTAAGGTCTCTCCACCCAAACCATTGCAAACCATTCATTGAGTGTGAAACCCTCACCCAGGGCTGAGATGCCAGCCCTGCACATCTGCCAGGACTCTGCAGGCAGGCTGGCCCTCCTGCAGATCTGTGTCTCCAGGAGATCTTCCTGTTTACTCCACAAGCCCCTCAGGCAGGACTCCCCTCCTGCAGCACTTCCCCCTCCCGGAGAGCACACGAGGTTCATTCCCAGCTCCAGCCTGACCAGTGCAGGTGTCAGGCAGGAAAACCACAAACACCAGGAGTTCCCACTGTGGACTGTTTGTGTAAATCCTGACTTCAGTCAATCCTGGCTGGAAAGGAAGCTGTAAAATCAACTTCCCAGCCACAGCAGCTCTCAGGGGGTGTTTTGTTCTAAGGTCAGACATGTGCAGGTGCAGGGATTGCTGGCTGAGGATTTGCTGTGCTGCTGCTTCCAGGTGGCACTGGAGAAACCTTCTCTGTTGGGACAGCAGGGCAGCGCAGGCCAGTCTGTCACCCACCAGGATGTCACCAACATCCAGCCAAGGATGAGGAGCAAAGCCTCACACACAGCAAGGACACTCTGAATTCAGTGCCTGAAGTCAGGGAAGATTTCCAGCACGGTGCCCACAGAGCTTCATGATCACCACGTGGACTGTGAGCAGCGAGCCACAGTGCTCCCACAAAAGCTCCTTCCCTTCCATCCTACAAGGATCCTACAGGGTCCCTCCTTTTTTCCCCACAGGCTGGAGCAAGCAGAGATCCTCCCAGCACATACAGCTGCACCAAACCCCGTGTGAAGTCATTACTCAAAGGCTACACCGCTGAGTAACCAGAGGAGTAAAAGTGGCTCCAGTGTTAATGATTAACCACACCCAAGGCAGGGCTGCCACACCACGGGCCTCATCACGGAGCAGCTGCATTGACAGAGCTCTGTGGCTGCACTCCCTGCTCTGCCCTGGAACATCTCCCACAGCCCTGGCTCACCAGCCTGGCCAGATGGTGGCACAGGGCTGCGAGTGTCCACGCTGGAGCCGAGCCACAAGGAAGCCAACCAGGGTTTCACAACTAAATCAGCACCAAAAGGAGGGATGGAACCCAGTAAAAGCTGCACAAGCCACATCCATTGGTGTGGATGTCAGCTGATTTCAGTCACCCACTTAACCTCAAAGCATTCCTTGCTCTGTGTTCCCAGAAGAGGAGTGTGCATCCCTTGGAGTGAATGGGGGCACCAGCAGAAGACACAAGAGGCCTTAAGCTCCTCTCCACTCTCACTCACTGGGCAGGGCTGTGGCACTGGGGTGGAGCTCTTTCCCTGCTGTCCAACCCAAGGCTCACTGAGCACTCTGAAATCCTGCCCAGCCCTTTCAGGCCACTTCCCCATGTGCAGCCATGATGGCCGTGAAGCTGCACAATGGATTTATCCTCCCAGCTCAGCAATTCCTGTGGCTGCAGCGCTGGCCGTGGGACCGGGAAGCGCTGGATGTGTGACGCTGTCATTTGGGTCAGGGAGCGAGGCAAACAAACGGCCTGTGCTGATAAGGGAGGGCTGGGGACAGTTTGGAGTGCAGATAAAAAGGGGAAGCGTCACAGTTCAAATCTCTGCAGTTTCTGCTGGTTTAAAAACGTCACCACCACCCAACAGGAACAGGGGGCAGCTGCTGACAGCAGCAGCAGGACACAGCAGGGAGAGAGAGCCCCGGGTATCCAGATCCAACAGAAGCCATGGAAATTGCAGTCACGCTGCTACAACAGTGCTCTGCCTCAGCCAGTTCAGGTTACCAGCTCCCAGGAGCTCATTGTGCTGCTGAATGAACGATCTGAGTGTGCAAATGGCCAGGGAACCAGGGAGAAACCAGCACTGGCAGTGTGGGGACAGCACATCCGCTGGGAGTCGGTGGAAATGAAAATAAGGAGTAACTTGGAGGTGTTGGTGTTTCCATGCTTGCTGAAGACCATGAGCTCCTCCCTGGAGGCAGGAGCTGGTCATGGCCAGCCCCTGTGCATGCAGAGGCCTTGAGGAATGGAGGGAAGCAAGGAGGTTTCCGTGGATTTCCTCCAAGTAGGGCGGCAGTTCAGCAAGGCTCAGACAGCCCGATGGAAACCGGAGCCAGGGCTGTTCCTGTACCGGCGCCGAGGGGAGGATTGGGCACCCAGCAAAATCCCCTCGGCCTCGGCAGCGGCTCTGGCACTGCCAGGGGCGTTCTTCGAAAGGCAGGGAGGGCTGGCTGTGCCCAGGGAGAGGCACACGTGGCTGGGCTGGCACCTCTGCTCCAACCTGGGCAGTGTCACCTGGAACAGTGACACCA